TGGTACTTGGTCTGAACAAAAATGAACAGATTCTTTAATTATATAAAGTCCATTAAGTATTTCATAAATAGTAGAAGCCCTGTTAAGAATATTCTATACATCATCTAATTAATGCAGCAATAAACTGTTAAAGAATTAACTTTAGATAACCAATAGTTCCCAGTGTCTTAGCTAAGACAGTGGAATCCAGAAACTTTAGATAACCAATGGTTCCCAATGTCTTAGCTAAGACAGTGGCATCCAGAGTGGCCTATCTGTCCAATAACAACTGGCTAGTGATAGAGCCTAAGCCAATTTGTTTGGAGGTGCTTCAGGCTTATAAGGGAGACTCTCAACTGCTAACTTAATTAACTTTGAGACCAGAAGTTCTTCCTACAGTCGCATTGCTTCTCCAAGTGCAAAACTCTCTTTTCATAGTTCCTTCACATAACCACTCTATGATACTTTGCAAGGTGCACAGAAGAAAGGATGGCTGCCTTACTCATGCTTCACTTTGTGAGGATAGTGGTTTCCTCTTTACATGATACCAAGTCACCTCACTGAAATGAACTCTTATGCTACTGCCTGAGACCTAAAGCCTCAGTAAGTTTTCTGAAGCATGATTTAATCAGTACAAAAATCAATTCAACTCAATCAACACGAGACGTGGTAAATTGGTGTAGGATCAACCACATTATCTTGCAATCCCTGGATGTTAACACCAGGAAATTTACAAACCACTAGCATTCATGGTGGAAGTCTGGACTTGATCACCCTCTAAAAGGAAACCTCATAGAACATTGGTGTCCTTCACCCTCAGCCTGCCACGTCTACTTTTCCCTCTTCTTGACTTCACAGCTGATCACAAATGCCTTTCACTAGAACCTACTCTTTTAATCCTGGCTGCCATAGATAATTTCTTGGTCCCCAGTCAGTGTGTCTACAAATCCTCCTATGGTGATATTTTGTTTGTGCTTTAACAAAGAAAGCTAGTCTGAAGGTCAGAGTTTGGAGCTAGTCACCAGTTGGCCATAGAGGCCAGGCAGTGGTGGCACACACCTCTAATCCCAGGACTTGGGAAGCACAGGTAGGCAGGTCTCTGTGAGTTCAAGGCCACCCTGGGATACATGAAATTGATTCCGTCTAAAAGAGAAACAGAGCCATGTGGTGGTGGTTCACAGCTTTAATTCCAGTATTTGGGAGCCACGCACTTTTAATCCCAGCACTAGGGAGGTGGAGACAGAAGTGACATGGCTGGCTGGAGAGAGCAATGCAAGGTGGGAGGAGACAGGAGCTCATTGCATTAAACCTGAAGATTTGTGGAGACAGGATTGCCCACTTTGGCCTGAGGATTCTGTGGAGGTAAAAGGTCTCTCTTGTGGCTGGCTCCTTTACTCCTCTGATCTTTCAGCATTTACTCCTATATCTGACTCAGGGTTTTTATTATCAAGACCAATTAGAATTCACACTACAGGGTCCAGAAAGTCCTACTTCAGTCTTTCCAAGTGCCAACTCTTGCTTCTCACTTGGCTTCTGTACTAATCACTTTTCTGGTGCTGTAGTAAAACACTATGACCAAGGAAGTTTATAGGGAAAAAGAGTTTATTTAGGCTTGTGATTCCAGAGGGTTAGAGTCCATGATAGTGGAGTTAAGGCATGGTGGCGGCAGCAGTAGCTGAGAGTTCATACCTTGTACCACAGGCAGGAAGCTGAGCTTTGGGAATGGTGTATGACTTTGAAACCTCAAGGCCTATACCCAGTGACATATATCCTCCAGCAAGGCCACAGCTTCTAAACTTACCCAACAGCCCCTCTAACTGGGAACAAGTATTCAAACATCTGAGCCTATGGGGGACATTCTCATTCAAACTACCACAGGCTCCTGATGCATAAGGGAAATTGAGGCGATCTGGAAGGACTCCAACTTCCTGACCCCTTCAGACTGCCACTCATCAGTTTCTGCCTTGAACCACACTCTTCCCCTTCCACCTTCTTTCACCGCACCACAGGCTTCTCTCTTAAGCTACCTACTGGACTGGGAGTTACTGTACACTCCTCTCACCTGAAACATCTGCCTTTGATCACAGGCTCCCCAGCTCCTATAAATCCTGATTTTCCTTTCCTCACCAAACCCTTCAAAAATGCAACCTCACTTACCATTCCTCCTTCCTCATTACCCTGTCCTCGATTTTCTGCAATCTGGCCTCCATATCTTCTTGAAGCATGGGTGACCCCAGTGGGTCCCACTCTCGGGTTATGACTCCAGAATCCCAACCATGCTCTACTTTTGTCTGTGTGGATGACAATGGTTCAAACTCACCTGACTCCCATGAGCCTGCACTTCCATAATTCCCTTCTTAATGTCTTCTTCATTCATTTAAGAAAATGCAAGGAAATGGCTCAAAGGTTAAGAGCACTGGCTACTCTTCTAGAGGACCCAAGTTCAATTTCCAGACCTACATTGTAGCTCATAAACATCTCTAATTCCAGTTCTAGGGTACCTAATGTCCTTCCACAGATACATGCATAAGGTGGTACACAGACATACATGCTGAAAAGATAGCCATACACATATAGACAAACAAACAAACAAATAAGCACAAGTGTTCTGGTCCTGCCATGTGCTATCGGTGGCACAGATCTAGGGGTGAAGAGAGCTGAGCCAGTGCTTATTCTCACAGATAATGCTGCTTAATTGGAGACACACTGCCAGACAACTAAGAATGAAGTATATGGGATTCTTGGTTTTCAGGGCAGCAATGCGAACACTGAATTATTAAAGAACAATCCATGGCTCCTAGAGGAAGGCAGGGCCAAGTTCCAACAAGTCTCATGGTCATCAACCAGTCACTATCCACTCTTGTTTTATGTGTATTTCTGTTTAAAGACACCCAGCTGAATATATTTTTTCTCTTTTTTTATTATTTTAATTTTAAATAGCTTGTTTTACATGTCAATCCCAGTTCCCTTTCCCTCCCCTCCTCTCGCAACCCTCATCATCACCCCCCCCATCCTCCCACCCTATTGCCAATTCCTTCCACATAGGGGATATCTAGAGTCTGTCATTTCACTCAGGGCAGGGTCCAGGCACTCCCCTAAGAGTCCAGGCTGAGAGAGCATCCCTCTTTATGGACACACAAAGTCCATTTGTATGCCAGGGATAAACACTGATCTACTGTCCAGGACCCCATAGATTGCCCAGGCCTCCTCACTGACTCTCACCCTCAGGGGGTCTGGATCAGTCCCATGCTGGCCTCCCAGCTGTCGGTCTGGGGTCCAAGAGCTTTCCCCTGTTCAGATCAGCTGTCTCTGCTGGTTTTGCCAGCCCATTCTTTGCCAATTTGCTCATTGCTCCTCTCTCTCTGTCACTGGGTTCCTTTCAGCCCAATATATTAGGTTTTCCTGGGAACAAAGATGGAGCTGGCTTAGCCGGGGATGAGTGTGAAGGTGGCAGTAAAGTCCCCAGTGGGCAGAGAACAGAGGATCCAGAGTCAGAGGGACCTCGGATGCAGAGCCACCCGGTGCCGACAAGGCCTCAAACGTAGGCGCTGGTCTTCGCTGAGCTTCAGTTAGCTCATCCATTAAATGGGAGAAGTGGGTTAGAAGAAGGCTTGGCGACTGTAAATACATGTTGCGTGTGGATTTACTACCTCATGAGTGGCTCATGACCACTGATTACTGCTACAGGTTGCAATCAGTTCCCTTTCATTCAGACTGCCTAGATTTTCAGGACTATGGCCCTGCCACCTGCCTGGTTGACTCTTGTGGGACACTGAAATATGAGCTGGTACCAAGAGTCTCTGTGGCACTTTAGGGAAGGAAACCCTCACGGCATGGACTCAGGGAGAGACTTAGAAGAAGCAGCAAGAATCTTGAGGAGGAGGAAAGGCGGGGGGGGGGGGGTGTTGGGGTGCAGAGACCATTGTTATCATGGCAGTGGGCAGAAGAAGCACGATAAGGCCCAAGGACTGGGGAGAAAGGCCTGGGAGGGGGAAGAAAGCATAAATCTGTGCAGGGACCGCAAGTGAACTGTCACAACAGGAGACACAGCCTCCTGGCTCCCAGGGTGACTCAGGCTCTCCTTGGTCCCACTTGGCTCCAAGAAGCAGGGAAAGCCCCCGGCAGGCCACTAAGAAATGCCTCTGTGAGGTCCTGGCCAGGCTGCTGAAATCAGTCCATGTGTGAAGAAAGGGGGTAAGAGAGAATGTCTGGAGACATCAGGGATCCGGTTCTTACTCTTGGTTGTCATGTGAGTCTAAATTCCAACTGAACCAAACACAAGGACCCAGATTTAACCCAAAATCCGGGCACAGTGGTACTATGCCTAAGGATGACACAGGTTTTAGACTTGCTTCCTGCATGATGGTCCCTTGTGATGACAGGGTTGGGGGCCTCTCTTTTCCAGAGGTGACCACTCTGCAGAGACTCCAAGTCTTGGAATCCCTGGTTCAGTATAAAATAAAATTCCACAAAAGTAAAAGAAGGACCCCCCAACCCGCCTCAGTTTCTGTAGCTACTCTTCCATGTACACAAAGGAAGATGTGGGGTCCTCATGGTCCTCAAGTGAACTCCTCCAAAGAAAAAGACTGCCTCCTCCCTTCCTCTACACCCCACAACAGCAAACCAGCACAGCGATACCCTTGCTTCCTGAGCTTGATTCTCATTCACTACCCACTCACCCACTCTCCCCGTTTCTCACAAATTCCTCCTCCCGATGAGTCAGGGATTAACAATTCTTGGCATCCTAGCTGAATAAATAGTGTTGTCCACAGTGATACTTGTCAGTGGCAAATTGCCATCACTCGGAGCCAAGGAGGTGTGAGTGCAGAACCCACGTCCGTCCTGGACCCTGATCCTACATGGGCGTCAGGCTACTGGGCTACAGGGTTGCTTGTGCTCTCCTCTTCCAGCTAGCGGGACTGACATACACAGAAGGGAAGAGGTAAGGAAGAGAAAGGGACAGACAGAGGGAAGGAAAGGAACGTCCGACGCTCTTATATAAACCTCCTACCTGCTCGTACCTGGAGCGGAGGTAGCATTCCTCCCATTTTGTTTCACAGATCTCCCAAGTACTGGAATGGCTAGAATTTTGACTCTCGCATTCTGATGTCCGTTGTGCCACATCAAATCACTGGTGTAGGTGGGCAAGCAGCTGACCAAAATCCACTTTTGTTCTGCTGCCTGGAGGCCTCAGGGGGCACTGCCCCAGGAGGACATTAGCCGTTGCCTTCTCTTCTTCTCGCTCAGCCTCCCCTATGTAGAGAGCTGTGTGATTTGGAAAGCTCTAGAAGACACATATCCTGAAGAGCCGTGGGCACAGAAGTGCCCCTAATACTCCCTGAAAATCCCAAATGTTTTGGCAGACACGCAGGAATCACTTACCGGCCTTAGCAGGCCCCGCCCAGCACCAGTGCCTGCCTTAGCCAGGGAACTGGAGAGTTCTCTCCGCCATGCACGCTTTCCCATTTCTCTTATTTCCGTAGCTCCAGAACCTCTGCTAATGCCTTATGGCTAATATATTAATTGTACCGAGGCATTTGCATGTATGCACGTATCATGCCTTGGTTTTATCACTTTCCTTCCCTCTGCCTTCTTTTGTCCCTCCCCCCCCTCCTTCCTGGATGGTCCCTCTATTTCCAGATACAGATACCTGTTTGAACGCTTTCAAACTCAAGGGTTTGAAGGGCCACTTACTTCCAGAGTCCCCGTGCGATCAGGCCCAACTTCTTGCAGAGAGCATGGGCAAGGCCTAGGAAAAACAGACATCCTTCCTTGAAGGCCCACAGCCGGGGAGTAAGAAGCCCGAGTCACCCACTACGCTCACTGGGCGCTTAGCATCCACTAGGCACCACTCTGCTTTCTGGAAGCCCATCCTTCTTAGAAGCACGCTTGGATGCCCCTGCTGCTGCTTTGCTGTGTCCCTCTCCCAGAGACTTTCCATTCCCACAGTCTAACCCCAAGACCTCCAAGGCCACTTGCAGCATTCCTGAAGACTGAGAAGAGGGGCCTTTGTGTGCAGCCTTTTTCCTCTGGGACCCTGGAATGCATCTTTACAGGGCTTGCTGATTTACAGCCCTGCTGTCTTTCAAAGAATCCCCTGGCCTGCGTTGAGTCAACACATAAAATGAAAGGCTGGTTAAAGTTCTGTCACAAGAAGCCAGTTGTCCCTTGTGCTAGCAGGATGCTTTCTTTAACCCTGGGCCTGGCTCTGGTCTCAGAAAATGCACCATGGTCCCACAAGTGCTCAGCATCTGTGCAGGAGACCTCGCAGTGATGAGGACGATAAGCATAGCCTGTGTCGTATCCAACCTTGTTCCCAAGCTGCTAGTCTACCCTTTATTAAGTTTTGGGCTTTACTGGACTGCCTTAAACATTTGTTTTGGGGGTCACATGGGCCCATTTTCTGATTCCACACTTTGGAAACAGTTGCTACAGTCTGTGCTTACTAACCATTCTGAGGAAAAGAATCCATTCATTTATTTGTTCATTTGCCCATTTACTCAATGATCTTCACTCTGCTACAGAGTTAAGAACCCAGAAATAGGTGAGTAACACTGGCTGATGCCTCAACCCTGCTCCAGGCCAAGCTACGCTCTCCCCAACTGACAGCTGGTGACTCACAGTTGAGTTCTCCCTGGGAGTTGTCTTTGGTCAAAGGGAACTCTGTCCCATGGGGAAATGGCTTTTCTTGGGACAGCTAGCCTCCAAGGCCTGGTTGAGGGAGAGGTCTCTGCCTCTGGGCCCGGGCTTCTTTGTCTCACTAAACTCATGCCATCCTCTGAAGCAGAGTTTAAACTTCAAGGATCTTAGAAATCTGAGCCCCATCACAGCTACATCACAGGCCACCTCCCATCACCGGCATCTCCTCTGCCCTGACTCTTGGCTGCAGTTCCCAGGGACAGACCTGCTCCAAGTAAGCCTTCTGTACATAAATTCCCAACTCTGAGAGCTAATCCCAGGGAACTTGTCCTGAAACATTTGCCATCATGAAGCGTACATACTAGAGGAGAGAGAAGAAAAACAAAACAAATAATCATTCATAGTATGGGAAGCGTGACATGGCTGTGGGAAAAACTAGAGCAGGGCCAGGGAATTCCCAATATGGAATAGAGGATCAATGGGGTCCAGGGTTCTGCCTGTCTCTATCTCCCTGGTGCTAGAGTTACAAGCTGGAGTCACTAAATCCAGCTTTTTTGTATGGTTTTGCTTTTTATTTTTGTTTTTGATGTGGTGCTGGGCATCAAATTCAGGTCCACATGCTGCTTTTTTTCCCCCTTTTGGTTTTTCAAAACAGGGTTTCTCTGTGAAGTTCTGACTGTCCTGGAATTCACTCTGTAGACCAGGCTGGCCTTGACCTTGAAGAGATCTGCCTACTGCTGCCTGCCATGTGCTGGGATTAAAGGCGTGTGCCACCACCCGGTTTCCACGCGCTTCTGGAGCAAGCACCTCATCAACCAAGCTATGTTCACAGGCCCCACGTTTGCCTTTTGGTACTGGATGTGGACTCAGCTTCCTATAACCGCCTTTGTCTCCAGTGTTGCACATGGAGGCCACTCATCATGCGGTACCTGCTTGCCCTCCTGAACATATACAAAGCGGCTACTTTCCAGTTTGAGTATCTCAGAGAGAAAACAATCATACAAGGTAAAATAAGAGGAGACAGAAATGGTTGCTAATGCCAATGAAGAGAATACCCCAGGTGAATAACATTGAAGGTTCCAAAATGCACTAAACATTGTGCCATAACTAAAACTGCAGAGATTTGGAAACCAAGAGGGGCAGAATATTTGCAAGCTATACTTCTATCAAGGGGCCAGTCTGTAGAACATGTAAGAAACTTTAAAACACACACACACACACACAAGCAACCCAATGAAAACTGAGGGTAAGGGTTGGTTCATGTAGGCAGGCATTTCTCAAAAGAATGTGCACAAATTGTGGTCAGATAGGTGGATAAAGTTGAATATTACTTATCGTAAGGGAAATAGCACTTCACCCAGTAAAAATCGTTCTTATCAAAAAGAGAAAGGTAATAAGCAGGTGCCACTAAGGTGTGGAAGAAAGAGGACTTGTGTGCAGTGTGGGTAGAAATGTCAATAAGGCATAAAGCAAACAGTGTGGTGGGCCCATCAGAAAATGCTTGGGCAATCCTACTGCTACATCAATAACTAAAGGAATTAAAACCAGGACGTCAAAGAGGCGCCTCCACTCCTGTGTTCACTGCAACACTGCTCAGAATAACTGAGAAATCAGAATAAATAGGCACTATGAATGAGATTCAGCCTTACAGATAATGAAATCCTGTCATTTGCAACTGTGAAATAAACCAGACACAGAAAGATGAGTACCACATGACACATATATGGAACATTTAGCCAGGCATGGCAGCACCCTGTAAACCCCAGCACTTTCGAGGCTGAGGCAGGAGGACCAGTGGTTCAAAGCCAGTCTGGGCTTTGTTCAAAAAGGAAAAAGTCAATCTCGTTGAAGCTGAGTGGAATGGTGAAGCCTTGGCCCTACTTCAGGCACACACACACACACATACACACACACACACACACACACACACACACACACACACACACACACACACACACACACACACACACATAGGAAAAACCAGCCAACAACTGGAGGCAGTCAGCTTTCCAGCATGACCTAGGGCATTTGCCATATGAGGAGTAAAAACAGGCTGATGGCAGAAAAGTTTTACGACTGAAGAATAGCACTTAGCCCAAGGAAAGGAGAGAGCAGCCCCCAGTTGAGACCCTGTTCTGAGTGAAGGGCAGGGTGGGAGCACACATACATATTGGGCAACAGAATTCCTGCCATTATACCAAGCGCCAAGGGATGCAGTGTAAGGTGAGGACATTTTTCAAACATAGAATTAGCATGCATAAAGGGATGGTAAGATTTTGCTTGTGATTTGTAAAGTCCCTTGCACAAACTCCCCCAAATTAGGAGCACTTAGCTTAGGATATAATAAACCACTCTAAGAAGAACCGAGTCATATGAGGAAAGAATTGCCCTGACTGGGATGACTTGTTCATTGTCCACACCTTCCCTATGTGCTGATTGATGATTCAACTCCAAATCTCACTTTTAAGCCTTTGCCTTTTAGCATGCTGGACCACACCAGCTCTGTCTGGACTTTCCACGAGACCTCGTCAATAGGAACCTTGGTATGGGATGGCAGGTGGGAGGAAGGGGACCCACCTTCCTGTTTAGTGTACTTTCTGCCAGTGTGGCTCCAGCAGTAGCCGCTGACTCCAGCTTCCCGAGGCTCCAGACCCCTTTCCATGCCCCTCTGAGGAACCAGCAACAGGTTGATGATGCCAGAGATCTTCGTTCAGCCCTGGGTCATCCTCAGATTAACAGGGTTCTCCTACCTCTACCTCTTGGCTCTCCCCACCCACACTGATAACTGATCTCTTTGTTATTTTTTCTCTAAACTTCAAATCACACAAATCATTTTAAAGTGCACAGAGAACAAGCATCATCACGCACGCCTTTAATACCAGCACTCAGAGCAGGCATCTCTGGGAGTTAAAGGCCAGCCTGCTCTACACGGTGAGTTCTAGGCCAGCCAGGGCTACAAAGAGAGACCCTGTCTCAAAAAAAATTAATCAAACAAACAAAAACTGGTTGTTAGCACCTTCACAATGTTATGTGAGCTTTACCACTGTCTAAATCAGTGCATGAGCAGTTATGTGTTTGCACATATATCTGCATGTGCACTCATGTACACAAAGATACATGTATATGCATACACATATTAGTGTTTTATTTCTGTATCTAATTCTACCTGTTGAAAGTGCCAAGTTTCCTCTAAGTTTTGATGAATCAAAACTTCTTCTAATCCCAGCACAGGGCTCGTTGTAGAATTCTCCTTACCTGCATGCTTTACTTTCTTCCCTTCTCCGATGGTGAGAGGCCTGACTTTGCCTTGCTTTGTGACAATGGCTTGTGGTCCTCCATCCCCTCACGCACTGGGTGCACTTACTTTCCAAGCCCAATGACTTGCCATTCCTGTGTGGCCATCTTCCCTAAACAGCCAGAACACCACCAGAACCAACGCCTCTTAAGATCACATCATTACAACAATAAAAGTGTTGATAAAAATGTTTCCTGTGGAGAAATGCTCCAAACACTACACTCCAGCAGACTCTTTGACCATGTCTCCCAGCAACTTTGAAGGACTGGCTGGCACGTTTGTCTATGCCTGTGAAACTGTCTTCTCTAAGCAAAGCTGATTTTATGGGTTTAAATCCTCGAGTTGTACAATTGCGTGACATGAGCCAACATATATTATTCAGGATTCCTGATGTAACTCACAAGAGAAAGATGGCCGCTGTTTCCTTTTGATGGTGTCTCCCCACTCCAACCCCCACCCCTTTGTAGAAACAATAAAATGCTTCTTTCTAAAGAGGTATGCTTTTTCTCAAGGCCAAGATTAGGAAGGGAAAGAGGGCCCATAGTTTTGTGGGCTGATTAGCATCATCATCTGACCATTCAAAATTCTATAGGAAATTTAAATTGATGCCTTCCTTGCCATTGACAGGAAAAATCACTTTCTGGGATTTTTGACTATAGTTTCTAGAACATACTGGAAGATCCTCTCAGCTCTCAGAGACTGTTCCTTCCTCTTTCACAGATACATTCTGGCCCGAGGTGTTTTGCAATCAACTTTCAAGAGTAACACTACAGTTTGGATCTGGAATACCCCCACACCAAGGCCCATGTACTAAAGATCTAATCCTTAGTGTGGCATTATTGAGTGGTGGCTGAAACTTTTAAGAGGAGAGGCCCGGTGGAAGGTTGTATAGGCCTGGGGGGCATGCTCTCAGAGGGAATAGCGGACCCC